GSCMAAAAAGCAAAGAGGCGAGACRAGRTCTGGCGAGCAACTTCTGCCGTCCACTGTTCCTGCTTCCCACTGCTCCAGAGGAAAGAGGCGCCACCTCCTCTTGGGAAGGGTTGCATTGGAGCATCCCCCTTCCCTGCAGTCTCCCCAGGATGTCCTTGGGGTCTGCCTCCAACATTCTTCTCTCCAAGACTGTTGGTGCCTGGAGAAGTCTGGGTTTTGTTTCACCCTGGGAAGACACTTCACAGCTGTGGACAAACTGGAGCCTGTCTGGCCCAACCCTCTGCTCAAGGCAGGGTCTTGGGAGCTGGTGGGGTTTTGCTGTCTCCATGGATCTGTGCCATCCTCACTTTTCTCCTGTGTCCCGGCTCTCTCTGCCCGGCAGGTCTGACACTCCCAGTCTCCAAATTTAAGGATGTGGGTGATGCAAGAGGTGTACTGTGAAATGGAGGGGACTGAGAACTCCATGTGTGAGGGCAGGTACCTGCTGGCACTCAGCCCCCCCGTCCTGCACCCACTCCTGCCTGGGGTGCTTCGGGGCTGTGGAGCAATGTGGGGGAGAGGCGCCACACAGGGGAGGACGCCAAAACTCTGTGTCAGAAGCATTATGTAAAGTTGTCTTAAATATGCAACATCTCCACAAATATATCTATATCTCTACAGCGTGGTGTGTCGGGTTTTTGTGGTGTGCTGGAAGGGGTGAAGGGTGGGGGAAGAAGCTTGGCCTCACACAGTGAGGATCTAAATCCTTCCTGGGAAGAGGCTGTGAAGGTGTTGGGTCAGGGTCACCTTCCTCAGCTGGGTGAGGTGTGACCCAAAACCAACCTCGGGGTTTTCAAAGCCGGTAGCTGGAGAGTGACAGCTCGGGAATGATCCGGAGCCACAGGCTGAGCCCGGTTACACCCTGGCAGCGGATGCCCTGAAGGTACCCGGATACTTAGCCTTGACATCGCACTTAATTGAGGTGTTAATCAGCTAATGACCGGGCACCTCCTGGTGCCTACGGGGCCGGGAGCTTCCCGCGGCACAGCCCAGCTTTCCCTCCGCAGGAGCGGGGCTGCACTGGGGCTGTCCCGTGCCCCCGATCCCGGCTGTGACACGCGGCCTGGCGGGGCTCCGGGAACCGCGGCACGGGGCCGGGGCAGCCGCGGRTGAACCGGGGGGACCCTGGCGTGCGTCCGGAGGGGGAGCCCCGGGAGCGGAGCGGCTGAGCCCGCCCGCCCCTCGCCCCGCCCCGGGCCCGCCCCGCCCCTCGCGGGCTGTGGGGTGCGGGCGGCGGGCAGGGGCTGCCGGCGGCGGGGTCGGGATGGCGCAGCCCGGGGAGGCCTCGGGTCACACGGAGACCACCAGCGCCGGCATGGACAGCAACGTCCTGGCCATCGTCATCGCCGCCAGTGAGTGGCGGGCGGGGGCTCCGGCGGGGCCGGGAGCGGAGCGGGGGCGGCCGCCGGGCGGGATCGGCCTCTGCCGGTGCCTCCCGGGCTGTGCCGGTGAGGCGATACCCGGGGGCGGGCGGGGGAGCGGTCGGGGGAGCGGCCGGTTCTGTGCCGGGGGCCCGAGCGGAGCGGCGGCGGTGCCGGCGGGGGCTGGCGGTGCCGGTGGGGTTGGCCGTGCCTCTGGGGCTGGCGGTGTCTCTGGGCTCCGCGGAGCCGCGCGTGGGCCGGGGGGAGCCGCGGGTTCCCGGGAGACCGGAGAGCTGGAGAACCGGCGCCCTGCCGTGGTGCTGCGGGAGCCGAGARCCCCGGGCGGTGCCGGTGCCGGTCCCCGCGGGTCGATCCCTGAGCCGCGGTTCGGGATGGGGTGAGCCCCTCCCGGCTCTGCAGGTTGTTCCCGGTCTCGTTGGGAGACAGAGATGTTGGGCACAAAGGGGYTTTAGCGCTCTTGGGACGGGCAGCAGGTGGAACCGGCTTCTCCAAGAGGCATCCGGGGGGCGAGAGCGGGTGGCCGGAGGAGGCCCACGGGCCACCGGCTCACTCGCCTCTCCCTTGTCTTGGCAGCGGTGTCCACCTCCGTCTTCATCGTGGCGATCCTCATCCTGCTGCTACTCCTGTACCACCGGGACCCCATGTGCTGCCAGTTCCTCTGCTCCTGCCGCCTCTTCCAGACCCCCAGCCAGTATGTGAGTGTCCTCTGAGTCCTCCCTCTCTTCCTCCTGCCCGAGTTCCTGCCTGTCCCCTCCTCGAGCTCCTGTTCTCTTGTTCTGGGTCTGCGGGTCTGCCCCGCCGGGTTCCCTTCCTGCAGCCTGGCTGGAGTTGCTGACGGACATGGGACCTCCAAGCAGAGCTGGGCTCTGCCGCCTCGTTGCTCCCACTCTTCGCAGAGATTCATCCTCCCACCCACCCAGCCCTGCCTGGCTGTGCCATTGGGGTTGTATCTTCAAGGCCCGGTGCTAACAGGCTTCCCTGCTCCCCACACAGCCCGAGGGGGAGGTCCTCCTCCCCCTGCACAGTCATGTGTGGGGTCGGGCTCTGCTTTTAGGGAAGGGGCCCAGCAGGGAAGGGGGCTGGAAGCTRAGGGCAAAGGCAGACAAAGCTCGCATCCCTGACAACTGGCTCTCTTGTGCACAGCTCCTGGGGAAGRAGCAGTGAGACACAAAGCCCTTTCACTCGCATCTGTAATTTCCTGGGGCTGGCTTTCAACTAGGGGAGCTGATGGAAAAGAGCAGCGTGTGCAGGCAGCGCTGCTTTTGTRGTGGTGATTGCCTGGGGAAAGCTCAGCTCCAGAGCTGCAGGGATGGCTCTTGAGGGGATGACTGCAGGTACCACTCTACAGTCCCCAGGAGAAGAGCGGATATTCAGCCTCCCTCTCAAGGGATGGAAAGACTTGTGCTGTGAAWGGCAAATCTAATGGGCCAGCACARGCTGGGAAGTCCCCAGCAGATAYRACAATGCAAATGGGCTGYGCTGATGGTGTCCCTGCCTGATCCWYTGCCTCCWCTCCTTTCCCTRTCYTCCCTMCTGTAGCCTGCCCATGGCATGCATTGGGTGCTCTTGGCCCTTCAGAGCTGCTCCCTGAGGCAATGTGGGATGCGCTTTGAGGTGSGAAGTTCAAAACTTTAGCATCATTTGGAAAATATACAGGATGCATATCCATCAGAAAAAGTGAAGCAGTTGTAGTGTGTGAGGCAGCTTTTGGGCAGGTGTAGTTTGAGCTGGCTTTACTCATCAGTTACTGAAACAACAGTTGGGCAGTGTTTTCCTGCAGCCTCTGTAGCTATGCTACATGTAGGGCCAACACAAACAGTTCCGTGGTTGTTAAGAGCCAGAGTAAATCTGCCACTCATAGTCCTCCCTGTGCATCTCTGGTTGCCCTGSGAGTCTCTGGGCTGGTTTCTGCTGGCAGAGATGGGATTTTCTGAGAGCAAGGAACTGCCATGGATCAAGTCCTGGCTCGGGTTTGAGGGACTTTTCTCTGCGAACAGGATTTCTGTTCACTGTTGCTCAACACCTTGACAGGRAATCCAGTTTAACTGGAGTGAGGCAGCTCAGGAACAGCACAGTGATTGCCCTGCAGATTTGGTTGCTGCATTATSCTGAAATGACAGCCTCAGTAGATAAGAGCTTCAAATTCTGTAACTCTGAGCACGTGATGGAGCTCTTATCTACACCAGCAGAACAGTTGTGTTGGGTTTTTTGTCCGCCAAAAAGAGATGGTTCTACTGATTCTCAGTGAAACCCTGCCCCAGGGCCCAGGCTGTCCTTCTGGCTGTGCTCTGGCCCTTGGAAGGAGGGAGGATGTCCTGGAGTTTTGGTGTCACTGAACAGGCAGGAGCTGCTGCCAGCAGTGAGAGCTGCAGGAGCCACACAAGCAGAGGGAACAGCTCTGCCTCTGCCAGGGTCCTGGTTGAGCTGGCTGAGCTCTGCTCTCTGCTGGGCAGGATGTGAGGGATTTCAGCTTTGCTCATGTCCTCATTCCAGGAGCGCCCYCCGCCCTATTTCAGCAGCAGCCAGCGGCTGGTGGGACCCCAGCATGGAACCTCACGGCTGGAGAATGCTGCTGAGAACCCYGGCCTGCAGGTGACAGCAGGATCTGTGCTGGGAGCTGGGCGGGAATGGGAGCAAGGGTGCTCATCAGCATGCAAAGACACTCTGGTTATGGGGCTCACCTGGGGCAAATGGTGCTGGGCAGCATCTTCTGGTGCTGCGCTGCAACTTTGGGATGTGCTGCCAGTATGTAAAAACGCCGGGGGGAGGCAGGGTGTGKGGGACAGGAATGTTGCAGAGGACACCACAGTGCCCTGAGGTGTTTGGGCATGAAGGGCCAGTGGTAGATCCTGGGGGCTTGGGATCCTGCAAAGCCGGTCAAGGTGTAATTGCCTCCCGGAGGGAGAATTTCCTCTCTGGAGGTTCAAGAAAGGGCTTCTACAACTCTGAACCTGGAATTAACTCAAGGTGGCACCAGGCCATGAACTTCTAGTGAAGAGAGCCACCATCGCACTGACCTTTCTTTTCTGGGATGGGCATTTCTAGGGAGATGAGCTCTTCTGCGTCGGACCCCCCAGCACGTACCAGCTCCCGTCCTGGGAACAGCCCCGCCTGCCCAGCTACGAGAGCGTGCGGAAGAAAGATCGCCAGCGGGAAATCCATCAGATGATTGCCGACAGGTTTGGGCTGTGGGCAGAGCCATCCCAGGAGGTGAGCTCCCCTCCCTGCGCTGTGGGGCTGCCAGAAGCCCATGACAGTCCCCACTGTGCTCCATATCTGTGTCTTGCTTCAGCAGCTGGTGGTAGCCAAGGACTCTGTGCTCTATGATTGCCTTGCCCCGATAGCTTTTATCTCTGGGAAAGCACAAAGTGTATCGGGAGGCTCCTTTGGTGTACATCTGTGCTGGTTAATGATCCATCTCCCCTCCCCCTGTGCATTTGCAGAGATGCCTGTATCAGGCGGCAGGGCAGAGCCGCAGGGAGAAAGGGCAGGCTCTTYGGATCACCTGCTCCATACAAGTCCAGGCTAGGAGTGTTATTTTTGGATGTCTGAGGCTTTCGTGGTTTCTTGCTCCCTTCTCCCTGCAGGACTCTCCTGGGAGGCTCCTTGCTATTACCATGAAGCGTTTATGGCTTATTTATGAGCAGGAGGCTTTGCCTGTCATGATATTTGAGATTTGCACTCCCCYAATAGAACAGGGAAAAGGGAGTGCATCTGCCAAGTAGGTCCTGTGGCAGCATCCCGAAAGGCTCCTGTTCACAAAAACCTCATTGTCTAAAGCAGAACAGAAACATTTGAAACCCTGAGTAAAGAACTGAAAGTTCACTGACTTACCTGGATTTTGAGCTCTTAAAGCTGTACAATAAAGTGTGGCATAGTTGGCCCTTGCCCCTCAGTGTTTGGAACTATCTAATGATACCTGCCCAAAAAAGTACCAACCTGGTATAGTGGAAGGTACCCCTGCCCGTGGCAGGGGTTGGAACTGGATGGTTTTTAAGGTCCCTCGCAACCCAAACCTTGCCGGGAGTGAGGGCACAGGCAGGGAGTAAAGCCCCAAAGACAAATAGTTGAGGAAATGCAATGGAAACTCTTCCGCAACATTCTCATGCCCCTTCCTGTCACTTGTGGGGAGAAAGCTGGTCCAGCTCTGCCAAAATAAATGTGCCAAGGCCTGGAGGTTCCTCTCAGCTGCTGTGCAGTGACTCACCGCCAAAAGTTGTGTAGAAACCTGGTTTGTAGGTGCTTGTGTAAGTCCCAGTAATTTTTCTTTAGTCAAGGGCAAGTGAATGATAGCCYGCTCTTAACAAAAGTCAAGTTTGTTCTGGCCTTGTGCCAAGTCCTTGAGGGGGAACAGGGAAGATCAGGAACCTGGCACAGAGTGTGAGGTGGGAATGTGTCTCTCAGCAGGTTTGTGCTGTGTTCCAGACTGATGCTCTCATCTCCAGGTGTTCCCCAGCCAACAGCCGGCTGCGCTGGGGGACTGCGGGGGTTTAATTTCAGGCTGGTGGTGGATGTGAGCCTTTTCATCCGCTCTGTAAGAAGAGGTGGGATAATCTCCTGGTTATTTCTGATCCGCTGTAATGCTCTTCCTCTCTCCTCAATAGATGCCGCCTCCCTATGAGCACGCTCTGAGGCATCCTCCAGCTTTCTCAGGAACAGGAATTAGCTCCGAGACCTTGGACAGACGTGGTGTTCCAGACCCTTTCCATGCCCCTCTCAGCTACCAAACTCAGCGAAACACTGCGGTGTAAGGCCTTGGCCTCAGCATACTTGTGCTGTCAGCAACAGAAGTGCCTGGGACACTGTTCTCCTCAGCAGGGAATGGCCAAACCTTCACCCAGATCAGTGAAAACACAACCAAGCCTGACCCAGCCACCAGTGACATCCCTCCAGCAGCACAAGGACAACCACGGAGCCATCGCTGGGTACCATGCTGAGCAGAGCAACCATGCATGTCTGAAAGCTCTTCTCTGGCAAACACCAAAGACAAAGGTCCAGCTGCTGGAGCTGCACAGGGCAAAGCCAAGGGGAAGGTGTGCTGGGCCAGAGCTCCTCAGGAGCAGCATTTCATACCTCTGTGAGGCAGCACTGCTGGCTGTACCAAGGATCAGACCTCAGGCACTGGTGGTGTTGTGCTGCTTCACTTGTTTCTAACGTTACAAAGGATCTTCCTGTATCTGGATTGGCTGCCAGGTGGGAATCCTCACCTGTGAATGGCAGAATCATGTGCAGCAGAGCATTTCTGTGTGCTCGGGCATCAACAGCCCCTGTGACCAACAGTGGTTCTGTACAGACCTCTGACACAGATTTGGAGGAGCCACAGGGGTTATACCCAAATACTGACCACTGGGATGAACCATGGGACTGGATTTGCAGGCTGGGAAAGGACAGACGTGTGGACTGAACAGCTGGTGGTCTCCACAAAAGCTGTGATGCACAGGTGGACAGTGTGGCTGACCCAGCTCACCTGGTCTTCTGCARAGCAGAAGAATTGTCCAATAATGTCAACACTGGTGTCCTTACCCCACTGATTTTAATAACCTGTTTTCTACTGCAGAGTCAATGTTTGAAATTGTTTACAAACCTGTAGATAAAATGAGATTGGTTTGGCCATGAGGCATTGGGGCTCCTTTATTTTGAGCAATATAAGCTCAAAAATGTCTTGTAATGACTCAGAGATAAAAGGATTAATATCCTGAATAATGCTTTATCATACACCTCCAGCTGCTAAGCTTKAAATACCAGCCTAGACTTGGGCATCTTACCAGGTCCCCAGAACTTAGTCATGAGTTACAGTTAGGCCTGTGGACTTGCCTCATGTTGCCAATGAATGGAACACTGAGATATTTGAGTTAATCATTGAGGTGAATGAGGTACAGGGAAAAATCCAGCTTCCTGGGACACATTAGGTCATTGTGGAGAAGGATCTGGTCTGCAGTACTATGAATTAAGGTACAAATAGAACAGTAATGACTAAAAAAGAGTAAAGATAGAGGGAATTATTAGTGGGACAAGTACTGATATAAAAGTAGAGGGAACTCAATTAGTAGTGCAATGGAACAAACAGGCTCTCCAGATACTAAATGACCATGGTAACACATTCCATGAGCAGCCAAGATCTTCAGCTGCCCCACAGCATTTATTAWACACTCCTAAAAATGCCACCAGGTGATCCCAGTGCCTCAACACAGATCACAAGTGCTTCAGGAGCAAAACCAAGTCCCAGACGGGTATCTTCTGAGCCATTCTTGTCCTCAGATGCCAGTACAGCTGCAGTGGTCTGTCCTTCCCATCCATGCCCATGTGACACAGCAGGCTCACAGCATGGTGACCAGTTTGAAGCTTCCTACCTCAGTGGTAGGGACGACACTGATAAAGGTTTTATAGAGGATTGCTCCTTTGGGCAGCTGACAGATCACATCCCTGCTCTCGCTGCTGCGGGGTGGGGGCACGTAGACCTCTTTGGTGTATCTCACAATCCCATCCTCCAGGGCGTAGAGTGTCTTGTTACGGCCCATCCCCACCTGGGAGAGGAGGAGGAGTGTTAGAAATGAGAGGCTGGGCATCCACAGCTAAAGCAGACGTGATCGTTGGTCTGCCTCTGATATCCTGGCTTCAACAGCATCTGTTGCTTTGTATTTTAAAATAAAACCACACAAACTTGCTTCCAGYAAATCTGCAATGGTGCTCAGTACGAGACACAAGACCCCACTCCCCACTGAAGCACAAGTGCCCAGGCAAATCACAGAAGTGTTTTGGGATATCCATAACTTGCAGACTTTCCCTGAGACCCATGGATACAAGCATGGCTCTGAGCAGGTTCTGTGACTAATATCAGGTCATGAAACCCAATGTTGGGATAAACAGAACACAGGGATGAGCATTAAGAATGAGACTGAAACAGAGGAGGCAGTGAGTGTGTGGGGCTGCTGTTCTCTGAGAAAGAAGAGAAAGAAAAGGTCTTACATGAGCGCCAGGATGCCAGCGCATCAACCGCTGTGTAGCCAAAATGTTTCCTGCATGGACAAAGGCACCTGCAACAGAGRAACAGTCAGAGAAACAGCTCCCCAGAGTCCTTGCAGAGCACAAATAATGGTACTTAAAAATCCCAGCTTTTTTTGTAGGCATTTTCTAAGGAAAAATGACTTAAAGTGCTAAAAGCATCCGAACAAAAATGCTGTTAGCAGAAAATAAAAGGGCAACAGATTGACTATGGCAAAAAGTCAAATTTCTGAAAAGATTGCTTCAAGGGTACAAGGCATCTTCTAGCTGCTGAAGGCATTTATTACATTTACAGCAGTATGTTTCCAKCAGCAAAGCCAATAATTATTAAGCACTCAACTCCAAGAATCTGCACTTTGGCTTTTGCTAAGCCTCGTAAATCTCTCCTCTGTAAACACTGGAAATGCTCAGTTTTTCCACCCAGCGTGGGGGGAAAGTGCAGTGCACTTATGAGGTGTCCCACAGCGTTCCCTCCTCCTGGGCTCTCTGAAGAGGCAAACTTAGAACCAAAGTACATTTTCTGTAGGCAATTTTGGCTGAGAGCCGTTGGACTCGTGCGGGGTGGGGGGAGCTGACTCACCCTGCCCTCCCACCAGCGACCCTTGATCACGAGGTTTCACYGATCCTCCCCTTCCCTTTCTCCTGGAAAAGTGCCCTGCCCACCTCCTCCCAAAACACTCAACAACTGACTGGTACCAGGGGAGAGAAGCTGTGAAGAAAGCAGTGAAATGCAAATCAGACCTACCTTCCACTTTTTTAAAGCCATAGCGCTTCCCAGGGCTGCGGCCACCTAGGTTTTTTGAGCTGCCCCCACTTTTCTTAGAAGCCCATCTGACAGCAACCAGGCTTGTCTGGGGAGCGGCCAGAACTAGGTTTGGAGAGAGAACAATATCAGTTGAAAAAACTATTGCATATATTTTTTTTCTATCAGATGTAAAGGATATCAGTTAAGTCAGGCTTTAAAATTAAAAGCAAAAGGAAAGCCCTGAAAAAAAAAAAGCACTTCCAAGATAAATTAGACCATCATGGGCTAAGTTTCATGAAAAGAGGGCACATCTCAAATGCTGCTGCTGCTCAGGTAAGAATGAAACGCTAAACAATGATGTTAAAGGACGTGCACAAATTCCTGTTTCATTCTTGTAATRTGCAGCACAGATGTCACTGGTTGCTGTGGATTTCACTGTGTTACAGTGCTTTGAGAAAAGATGAGCTGTGATCTATTTCAGTTTCCCCTTTGAAATGGCATTTATTCACAGTCCCATCCTGAAATCTTACAAATGAGAAGACTTCAATTCTGACAATGTGTTAGCATCTATCACCAGCCATGAGCAGTCTGAGGATACTCCAGAAGGAGCATAAACGCTGGACTTGCTGATACTGGAGATCTTTTCCAAACTTAGTGATTCTGTGGTTCTATGATTAATGGCTCAAAGGATAGCAGAGCCCTGGGAGCAGCAAGAAGGGAGTCAGGAGCACAATTTTTTCATGAATCCTCCCAGTTCAAGGGAAGTGTTCAAGGCCACGTAGGATGAAGCTTTGGAGCAACCTGGTGTAGTGGAAATGTCCTGGCCCATGGCAGGGGGTTTGACTAGATGATCTTCAAGATCCCTCCCAACCCAAATCATCATGATCTTAAAAATCTCTTCAGCACCTTCTTTCATACAGTTAGGAGAAAATCCCAATTTTTCRGAATCCCTCTATTTAGCTTCTAAAGCAGCAGGTTAATGCAGAACAGTGGTTATCCTGTTGCCTTAACCTGAGTAAAATCACTAGTTTAAATTAATTATCAGAGTGAGCTAGAAACAAGTCCTGTCCCTGGAAGTGTCTAAGACCAGGCTGGATAGGTCTTGGTACAGCCTGGTCCAATGGAAGGTGTACGTGCCCATGGCAGAGAGTTGGAACAAGATGATTTTTAAGGTTCCTTCCAACCTAAACCTGTCCATAATTCTACAAAGCCCCTACCAGACCCCATTAATTTCAGGAATGGCCTATTAAGTAAATGAAAGCCTCCCAGACTCAACAAACTACAGGAAATTAGGCAAAGACGCATTACAGTTCCAGTTTCACATACACAAATCCGCCCATTTCACCACAGCTCTAGGCCAAGGCGAAAGCTTCGGCCCCGCGCTACCGGCTGCGATATCCCACCGGAGGCGCGGCATTCCGCGGGGCGACTTCCCTGGGATATCCCTCCCGTGCTCCTCCCTCCCACTCCATGGTTAGAGCGGCTTCCCACCCCTCAGAGGGCARACAGCGGACACAACCCCTGACTCACACAGGCGCCCCAGCGCCGCCATCTTGATGGCGCCGCTTCCCCTTCCTCTTCCTCTTCCCGCTGGGAGGGCGGTGCGCGCGCGGTGCGCGGCGATTGGTCCCAGCGCGCGCGGTGGGCGACGATTGGCCCGAGCGCGCGCGGCCCCACGCGTTCTGACCAATCGCCGCGCACCGCACGCGCCCCCGGGCCAACCAGCGGCCGGCGCGGGCTTTGCCCTCAAGCGGGCGCGGGCGCCCCGGAGGGGACGGGCGGGATGGCGGAGGATGGTTCGTCTGAGAGCAGCGAGGGGGAGAGCCTGCCCTGCCTGGCCTCCTTGCTGGGGCTSTCCCCGCGCCTCGGGGAGCCCAGCCGCCCGCGGTCGCCATCTCCCGATGCTCAAAGGGAAGAGGCTGTCGAGACGTTCAGCAGCAAGAGCGAGGAGATGGACGAGRAGGTGATCGACGTCGTCCCTTTGCACGAAAGGTTAAAAATGAGGGTGGGAGCGGAGGCTGAGCCTTTCAGCTTGGGCGGTGGTGATACAGCAGAGGTATCTGGGCTTTGTGCTGGTAGCAGCCTGATGGCTCCTGACAGMGAAGGACTGCGGGAAGACCTGGCTTCGTCTGGAGAAGCGGCTTTTGACACTGACAACGGTACACGCAGTGCTGAGACATCGTCCTTGTGCTCGCTGTCAGTCGACTCGGACGGGCCTAGTAGCTCCCCGGTACGTAGAGAAAGGCCAGAAGCATCCCTCCCTCTCAAGAAGCGGCAGTACAGTCAGAACGAAAGGGAGGCAGTCTGCCARAATGCGTGTCAAAGAAGGAAAGTGCAAGAAGMAGAAAAGAGGGAGCGGGAGGAAGAGAAAGARAGGAAGAGAGCCGTTGCCAAGATGCTGAAAGCTCAGCGGCCAGGAGAGTGCCAGAAATACATAACAGTGGTGCTAGATCCAGGTAGTTGTCCTCACAGCGTGCACCTGCCTTGTATTGACTGTTTTCTCCTAGCTGTGGAGGCCTGACCCATGCACCGATTTCAGTCATCTTGCAGGTAGAAGGTGGTGAGCAGATCCTTAGTGCTTTGCAGGCTGCAAATTATTCCTGTGTGTTTGAGAATCACGCTGTTCCCTGCAGCATCACCTGGAGGAGAAAGACGGTGTCATCACAGGTATGTGAACAAAATCTTGATAATCTTGCCCTTTTTTCACGCGTTATTTGCAGTCGTTAGTAATTGTATTTAGTAACCCCAGTAAACACCCTCTAATCGCCCTACTCAGAGCTCTGAGTGGGAGTCTGAGTGAATTTTAAACAGACCGTTGCCTTGTTTTCATATCTGAACAGATGGGAGGAGGAGATGAATGGACAGAAGAACCAAATGTCCTGGTTCTGCTTGGCTTGAAGGAGTTTTTGTCTATGGCTCACAGCTACAAACAAGTGAGAATGCTCATGACTTTTGTGCTCCTGAATGTGCCTTGATGCAAAACTGGGGTTTTGTCATCCCTGTTAGTGGCAGGAAGGTTTTGATGTGGGATGAATACAGGGTCTCAGTAAAACAGAAATCTGGGTTTCGGAGCCATTAATGGGTTGTRTAATAAAAAGTTCAGACAAGCTTTCTTTCCTAGTTAAAATTTTTCACACATTCCTGAGGAGTTCCATTGTTGCATCAAGTGGGACTATTTTTTCTTTSTTTCTGCTATAACTTTACATGGGATTAAGTATTGCCTGCTTGCCTTGAAGAGCAAGGGTCAACAGATTTATGTGCAGACCTACAATCAAGGCCATATTTTGCTGTGCTTCTCTGTGTACCTCAGAGTGGTTTAACTCCTTTTTTCCCCTAATTCATCTTTGTAGAATGCTGATGGCTGTGCAGAAAGACAGGAGACCCTGCAGAACTATGTAACTGGTGTGATGGAGCAAATGCCTGGGAAAATTCTGGCTATGGCAGTAGTTGGAGTAGAAAATTATTTCAGGTCAGACTTCTTTTCCTCCAAATGCTTCTCTGTTTGCTCGGGGCCTTGAAAAATGCTGTAGATGTTTACATTAATTTCTTCTAGCAAAGACTGGAGTATAAGAAGTATTCCCAGAATTGCTCCAACATTTTTTTTATACAGAAACAAAAGCAAAGAACCATCCAGACTTTCACCCCAGTCTTACTTTACTCTTTTTAGGTCCCTCCAAGTTCAGACAAAACAAAGGCTGCGAAGGTCATCAGTGAGTGGGAGCCAAAATAAACGGGGGAAAAGGAGAAAAAAGGAGGTTGATGATTCTGGCCTGGACTTAACCAGAACGGATGTGGAAGAAGTGAGTGCCTTTAAAACAGACTTGCAGCCATCATCTGCTGTCTGCCAGTATTTGAACATTTGACCCTGTCACACATTTTTTCGGGTGGGAATATGCAGCTTTCATTATTTGTTGGTCCATCAGTCTGTGGACAGTGCTCTTTGGGGTCAGCTCCCCTCCTGCTCCCACACAGACTGATGAGTCTCGTTCACCTGGATACTGATGTCAGTCTCAGCACCTCTTGCCATTCATGGCCCACTGGCAAAGCCCACTGGTGGTGGTCTGTGCATAACATGAGCCACGGAGGAGCTGAGGCAGCTCAGAGGACTATTAACAGGGTGATATTAACTGTCAGGAGACAGACTGGCCCTAAATACTTCAGTGCCTTAAATTTACTGTTCTCAAAATGGGGTGAGAGCGAATGTTCTTGTCCTACAGCACAATGTTTGTGAAACTTTTCTGCTGACAAAAAGTGGGATTTGGTATGAYGTGACTGACCCATTTGTTGTTCCCATTGGTGATACAGGCCCTGGTGGATCTGCAGCTGAGCACACAAGTCCAAATCAGCATTTTTGAGAGCAATGAGGAGCTCGGGGAATATGCCACTATGTTCACAAAAGCTGTGGCTGAGGCACCATACAAGTGAGTAARCAGAGGAGGTTTGGTCCCACATTTGGAGAGGCTGCATATTAAATTACTGGGAGGAACTAGCAGGTACAACACAGGATATAATGGTTTTGAAATGAGCAAGCAACAGAACAGCTGCTAATGCAGCTCCTTCAACACAGGACTTGTTCTTGAAAYTGATGTCCTGCCCACAGAGGGATGAGGACAGACCCTGCTGTGTCATAGTCACGGGCTGGTTTGGGTTGAAAGGGACTTTAAACATCATTTAATCCAACCCCCTGACATGGGCAGGGACACCTTCCACTAGACMAGGTTGCTCAGAGCTCCATCCAACCTGGCATTAAACARTTSCRGGGATAGARTATCCACAACTTCTTTGGACAATTTGTTCTGACGCCTTGTCACCCTCAGATTTCACACTGGAGCCTTGACAACAAATAGTGCTCTTGTTCTCAGTCAAATTTTCAGAGTGGGATGGGAATGCAAGTAGGGCTGGGCTCTTACAGTGCCAGCTTTTCTTATTCAGTGTGTAACCAAGAGATGTGCCTGAGAATGAACCWCTTGGCTCTTTCCTTTGATAAGGGAGGACAGCAGTTTGTTGAACAGTGATAGCTAAGAAAGCCATCTTGCAGAGTCTCACACAATCCTGGCATTCCTGTCACAGCAGCTGCAGGGTTTTCCATGTCAGCCATGAGAAGAGAYGAGATGTCATTAAAAATGACATCTAGAAGTGTTTTATTATGGTTGACAGCCAGAAGGTGAATTCTTGTTTACCACTTTGTCTGCACRTTGGCTTGTGTCAGGATTGCTACCAAGTATAGGATTGTTTCTTTTTCAGTAGCAATCTGGGTCTTAAAGAAATTGGGAATGCATGTAAAGAAAACAGTGTCAAATTGTTCACATTTCCTTTGATGCCWCTGGTGCCTCTGACAGCTCAAGTGAGGGACGGCGCTCTGGCTCCGTGACAACAGATGGCAGGGACAGGATTTTCTTCACAGCCTCGTTGTCTCATTTGTTTCCTCTTTCCTTGTTCTCCCCAGGCGAGAGCGAGAGAACACAGGGTTCTCTTTCTACTTGGAGAAGGGCTGTTGCGGAGGGGTGAAGGTGGATCCTTCCGGAAAGGGTCTCTTGAAAGTTTGGAAGAGGCAGATACAGCAATTTAACCGTGTCAGCTCTGAGATGGCTGAGGCTATYGTGTCTGCCTACCCTTCTCCTCAGCTCCTGATCCAGGTGAGGATGCCTCAGGAACACCCAGCATTGTGTGCAGGCAGCCAGCTCATGCMAGGGGTGGGAGAAGTAATTTAATCAATATTAAATTAGGCACAGTGATTCCATATGAGTGGTTCAGTAAGTTAGTGAAGGAATTGATTCCTTGGCATCTGCTGTTCTGGCTTCCCACTCTCCAGGCTCACAGATGGGACCTGGGCAGCAACCAGGTGAAAAATGAGTGGACATTGTGGAAGGGCAGAGCACTCACAAGTCCACAGCACTGACTGGTGTTTTGGAGGCAAATGGGTGATCCCGTTGTTCCTTTGTGTTGCTTTTAGGCCTACGAGAGATGCTCCTCGGACCAGGAGCGGGAGAACATGCTGGCCAACATCCCCGTGCASCGTGGGGAGGGTGTGACAGCCACCTCCCGGCGCATCGGGCCGGAGCTGTCCCGACGCATCTACCTGCAGATGACWTCCCACGATCCTGACCTCTGTCTGGATATCACTGGGTAGCTCCAGGGAATGAGGGTTTTACTGTTTGACTGGTTGAAGCGTTCCCTTTTGGATTTCACCGGATAGCTTCAGGGGATAAGGATTTTACTGTTTGTCCGGTTGAAGTGTTCCCTTTTGGATTTCTCTGGGTAGCTCCAGGAAATAAGGGTTTTACTCTTTGTCTGGTTGAAATGTTCACTTTTGGATTTCACTGGGTAGCTCCAGGGAATAAGAGTTTTACCGTTTGTCTGGTCAAGTGTTCCGTTTTCTTCTGTGAAGAAGTGCTTAGRTAACACTCATTCATCCTTGTTTAAAGACTTGAAGCACATTTAGACCTTGTAGCAGGAAAAAAGTTGGATAAAGTTGCTGAATGAATTGAGTTTACACAAAAAAGATGGTGAARCGTCTTCCATAAGCACACAAGTTGCACGCAGTTTATAGTACTGGCGCTGTTTTATTTGTCTTTCTATAAAATAAATAATTTTGAAGAATAATCTTTGCTTCTTAATGTGTTGTCTTGAATATAAACAGGTATGGGTATGCCTTCTGTTCCTGCTGCTTCCCTGAACTGCAAAGGCTTATTTTCTCCCTCCTTTGGAACAAATCCTGATGCTAGAGGAACAGGGTGCTGCCTCCCCAGCTCTAGTGAGGTGAAAGAACTTTACCTCACAAAACAKCCTCCCATTGTTCCGCTGTGGCAGATGGCAATGAGTAAGACTAATTTTCAGATATAAATTTAGAGTACCCTGATTCAGTCTCCAGACAGCTTAATCTAGAGAGGGTCTTGAAATCTGATTATATGTGCTGGAATTATGAGGTCTAAACAGTTGGCAGAAAAAGCCKCCTTTTAATTAGATTGGGAAATGYGGCCTGTCCGTGCAACCATCAGCACTTGTGTGCACACAAGGACAGTTGAGGGCTTTTGTGACAGCAGCACTTACTGAGATGAGTGCTCAGAGAATTAAACTGCATCCCATGCGTGAAAGTTAACTCTTTGGGACCCTGCTGCCTCCAATGSAAAAATCCCCACCTGCCCTGCTCATTTCAGGCATCCAGTAGGAGCCCTGGCCTGGCCAGCAGTGCTGCTGACCTTAATCTATAAACTGTATAAGCCCAGCACTTGCCAACCTATCTAACACTTGCATGGATGCTGGCAGGAAGAGCTGCATGGAGGAAACAGTGCTGTGGATGATGTTTTGCTCTTTTCCTGAGCATTTCTGGATAGGGAGMAAGGATCTTTTAAAGAATGGGATGAGTTTGACACCAAAAGCAAAGCTTAAAGCTGTATGAAGGAAGCTTTGAAAACATTCACCCTGCTAAGGCAGAGACAGTCCTTCCTTCCTTTTATCTGATACTTGTGCTGCTGGTCTCTCTTGTGTGACACTCAGGGAACTGCAGTCTTATCATCAGGTTACAGAAAGGTGAAGGTTTACTGCTGTGATAGTGACCGTGGTGTAAACCACTACAGATGATATCCCTATGGCACTGCTGCTGGCAACAATCCCAAGAATGAGAAGAGGGAGCAATCCTGGAGGCCTGTGTAGGATGTCTCAGTAGAGTCTAGCACAGATATTCTCTGAAATCTGCACTTAACTTCATTTTAGTACTCACAGAGCCCTTAAGGATATGAAAAACTATTCCTGGATTTATAATTTCCTTTAAAATGATTTGAAATGAATTATGGTGTTTCTTTAAGGGAAAATTTTAAATTAATTAATTAAAAATAATTTTAAAAGAAATTATAAATAATTCACAGACCATTGCAGAGGCAAGTTTTCTTCTCGAAGTGCAAATCACCAAACCTCCCGGCCTCCCCCAGCCCCGAGTCGTCCCCTTTCCTTTGCAGTGCTCCCACAGTGCCACCCAGTGCTGCCTCCGTGGTTGCAGCAGGCAGGAACTATTCCCATACCTACTCAGAAATCGTTCGTGGCTGTTCCTAAAACGCCTTGTTAAAATTACGTTAACAACATAAACATCCAGCTCAGACAAATTGCTGTGAAAACTGTTGTATTGAAAATTTTCAGCTCCTTTCAATAGCACATCAGCCTCTTTGCTCCAACACAGGGATGCACAGCCATCCTACACGCCTGTAATTGGTCCTGGARTGGGGCCTTAGTGTATTATTCCCATATAGCCATACCACCAATTTTAGCAYGAACAGAAATGAGAGCAAGGAATGGATATGTATTAAAAACCTTCCACCTCCAGCTCAGAGCTACAGCTGCCCAGGTGAYGTGGGAGCTGCTTGCTTCCACTCTTCTAGACTGGCAGCTTCCTCAAAATCCTGGTGGACACCACTCGGAGGCAAGGAGTGGTAACGAGTTTAGGTTAATGTGTGCAAATAATGGGAGTTACAGGCCAACTGCAAGACATGCACAACAAAGATGGTTTGAACAATAGCTCTGCTCTGTGGAGTGGACCAGCAAACCAACGCTGACTGGTTTGAAGCAGTTTCATCAGAACACAATTCCATAGGAATTCTGGCTGTGTAGATGGTGGAAGGAGATGCTGACGAAGCAAGTGCCCGTCCAGGACAATCACTGCCGCGAGTTGTGCTGTAGCATGTTCTGCAGGGTTTTGTGGTTCTGCAGAGCAGCCACCACATCCTCGTAGAGGGTGTTGACGCTGACGCACAGAGGTTGACGCTGCAGCTCCGTCAGCTTGCAGGCAGCCAGAGTACAGAGGATGCAGAAGAGCACAAAGAGCAGGACTCTCAGCACCGAGCGTGACCACGAGGGCTTGTGCCKGGGGGGCTGAGGGGGACGGGAGCTGGAGGCTGGCTCTGTAGTGACAACACCAACAGGACAGAATGGGAGAAATCAATCAAATATCTTTAATAGGCAATGCCCACAAAATGTTCAGCTAAGATACTTAATCCTCTGTTGCAGCTGGCTTTTGTCAAGAATTTTCATCACTTAGCTCTGATGAATAAGTAAATGTACAGGATTTAACTGCTTAGGATGAAAAGTTTCAGATCCAGTTTCACGGGAAGCAGTGAAGAGGGTGTAAAGCACCCCTGTGCTGTACAAGATTTGATTGTGCAAATGTAGTTCAGTAGAGTTAAGAAAAAAATGAGTGGAGGGATGTTCTCATTAGGAACAGATGGAGAACTTCCTGACTTGTAGCTCCACAGTTTATGGTAACATAGGCAAAGGAGGAAAGGGCACAGCAGACGAGTTTATTAGAATCCTACAGGTTCCCCCTACCCTCTCCCACCATCTCCCAGTACCTGGCCTGCATGAAAACAATTCTGGCAGCATCAAAATCTCATGAAGATGAAACCTGACACAATCCCACCCAAAATGGACACTACTTACTTCGGGTGTGCACSGTTTCTTTCTTAGTTTTCTTTTCCATTTCCTGTTTTGCAGCTTTCTGAGCATCATACTCCCGCCTTCTGCGCTCCTTTTCCTCTGCCTTCTCTCGCTTCCGCAATTCTCTCTCCTGAGCCTCCTTCGCTCGCTGTTCCGCTTCACGCTTCTTCTCCATTTCTGGGGATTAACAGCAGGATTTTCCCTTTCATGTAAAGGGTTATCATTGCCATTTTCTTATTACCTGCTTATCTGACCACAACTGCAATGAGGAAACCAATTAAACAACTATCCTCTTTTCTATAGTTTTATTTAGTATAATGTACCTTGCATATTTGCTTTCTTTCACATTTTTATAGGTAACCTATAGCACATTCAATCTAGAGATTTAAATATTCCTTAGTCCAAGAAATCACATAGTTACCCTCCTGCTATGTTTCTTCCTCCAGCCCTTTTACTCTCCTACTCCCTGAGTACTTTGGGTTGGGATAGCTACAGGTATTTGTTAGGTGGCAATTTGTTAGATGGAGATCAGAATGTCTGGGGGTGTTAAAGCAAGAGCAACCCTCAGCAGACAGCATGTGGGGGGTCTTTGTGCCTACCTCGCTCTGCCTGGAGYTTCCGCTGCCGTTGTCGATCCTGCTCAGACTGAATCGCTTTCATGTGCTGCAGTACCTTCAAGGGCCAAGAAAACAACCTGAGGGCTGTGCAGGAGGCTCATGGCACAGTCAGTTCAGAACAGAACAACTGGAGTGTGGCTGAGGACAGTCAGCTGGGGCTGACCCCATCCCTGACCTACCCCTACTGCTCCAGCCCTGAAGAGCTCACACCTTCCTGTGTGAGTCTTTGCCCTTGAGAAACAGATCTTCCCATTAAAAACAAACGTGGCAAACTGGTGCTTCATGACACAGAGGATCACATCCATTTCMATTTATGTTTGCCACAACTTCTCTAAACGTTTTTGTACTATTAGCACAKGCATGAATATTCATGTCCGATTATGCCTCCACTTGCTTGGCAACCAGCATTAAATCCTCTCTTAACTCCATTAATGCAGAAGCATCATCCTCAGCCAGGTGATTGCTCTCCAGAGGCATAGCAGCAGTGGAGTCAGTGCAGTTCACCTGCACCTCAGTGCCTGAAGAAACTTCAGGCTGCTGCAGCATCTGTCCAGTTTGCTAAGCAAACAGAGGATGGACCACTGGCAAGGCCATGAAAGGAAAGACAAAAGAGAATAAATGCAGATTCCTTACCTTGACAGCAGCCTGCTTACACTGCTTCTCATCCAGACAGTCTCCTGCCACTTTAGCCAGGACAGGATCCAGGGGATTGTCCTTCAGATCCAGCCACTTCAGRTTCTGTAGAAAGGCACAACAAAGGGGAGGCTGTAAGAGCACAGGAGTCTTGGAATTATTTAAGAGATCCAAAGCAGAAGCAAAAAACTGCTTCGTTTTCACATGAATGAAACAGATACAGAAGATGAGCAGAGATTCAATAGATTGAGAGGATTTTCATTGAGCTGCGGTGCAGAGCCAGCTGAATTTTGGAATGGGTWGTCAGCAGGATGGATGCTTTACCAGAGAAATCAACTTGAGCAGGATCACAAGACCCTGGGCTGCATCCCAAAGCTTTACATAACTGCCCAGCAAACAGTTTTACCTTGAGCTGTGCAAAGCTGACTGGCAGGGTGACCAAACGGTTGTTCAGAAGGTCCAGGTGCTGCAGATTGACCAGGCGGCCAAAGTCCAAGGGCAGCTGTTGAAGCCGATTTTTACTCAAATCCAGTTTCACCAGGTGCATCAAACTGCAGAAATCTGACTAAAACCCAGACACAGAAAACACAGAGAAAGCTGGTCAGCACCTTTATGGATGAACCTTAGTGGGAAGTATGTGGAAACAGCCTAAACCACACATCAGCCACAAATCCTTAACTTTCTACAGGATATGATGGAAGAAAATTGCTCTCCTCCTTTGCCTTGGAAGATGGAGGTGGGACACAATGGGACAGATAGGACAGCCTGACAAGGTTATGGATRGCAATATGACAGGAACAAACCCGACTCTCCACTGCTGCTGAAACTCCTCTGTATTCACTTGGGGATGCTCTGGCAGGAACAYACTGCAATCTTCACGCAGTTCAACCCTTTACTCTCTCTTGCCTCAGCCAAACCCACTGCCAGCACTGACCCGTCACGGACAAACGGAGTCATTCAGCCACCCCAAGGCAGGGAAAGTGCCAGTTCCTCAGCTCCTGCTACTTCCTCCTCCTTCCTACTGAAGCATCAGCTATCTTWACAAATATTTCCCAGCAGACTCATCCCCATGGAAGCTCTCTAGCACCTTACCGGCAAGGAAATGAGGTTGTTRCAGGACAAATCCAAGATAGTAGCTTTTGGAAGAGCGGCCTGAAAGAGAAATAAGGCATTGAATGAACATGGAGCTTTCCCCGAGCCGCTCTGACACCTGCTAGTTCTGCTCCGGCCTCTGCGGTTTCTCCCGCGTCAGTCTGTCCGTCCCCCGCGGCTGCTCGCAGGTCGCGTCATCTCCGGATCCATCTCCGGCTCCAAAGGCGGTTCTGATCCCGGGACAGCAGTGAGCAGCGGCTGCCGGGCCCGCGGGACACACAACTCCGCCGCTTTAAACGCCTGCAGGCCAGCTCACAAGCTGCCAGCACATCTGGCTCTYCTCCGCTGCCCCTTCCCGGGGACCGGCACCGGTCCCCACCTCCGCCGGGCGGGCCTGCGGCCGGAGACTCACCAGCTCCCGCACGGGCACCTCGTTCAGATCGCACAGGCTCAGGTCCAGCTCGTTGCCATCCAGCTTGTCCTTGAGGCTCAGCCCTTTCCCGCTGCCCCGCGACATGGCTCCGCCGGCGGCCGAACCCCCGGGGGATGCGGTTGGGCACGGCGCGGCGGCGCGGCGCGGCTCGGTTCGGTTCGGAGCGGCTCAGCACAGCCCAGCACAGCCCAGCTCAGCACAGCTCAGCACAGCCCAGCCCGTTCCGTCCCGGCGTGGCACGGCCCGGCCCCGCCACCCACTTCCGCGGCCACGTCCGCACCGGCCCCGCCAGCGCCGCCGCCGCGGAGCTGAGCTGAGCTGAGCTGAGCGCGCCCCTGCCGGCCCGGAGCGGGGCCGCACCGCACCGCACCGCACCGCCCGCACGGCCCCGAGCCGCCACACTGACACAAATTGTATTAACAAACGATGCTATCTGATGTTTGATCTCCGCCTGCTTTCCAGGCTGAGCAACAAGAAAGGAGATTCAATCCCCCTCCCCCCCCCCACCCCGCGAAGCAGGGAGCAGCCGATAAACTGTCTTAGAATGATACATTACTTGTTGGTGGAATTGCCTTGTTAAGGTTTAAGGCTTGATCCAATGATCGCAAACTTAGTGGGAGGTCAACAAAGCTTGGGAAGAAGGATGCGCTACTGATAGTGGGCACAAGGAATGCAGGATTTATGGGCTACAAGGACATTTGGCACAAGTCCCGAGATAAGGGAGAAACTAATAAAGCCGACTCAGCAATTGGGTTGAATCAGCTCCAAGTGGGTAAAAGGTAATTTTGTAAGGGGCAGATTGTAACCACTGRCTCATGGCCACAGACCCAAAAAACCAATAACCCAAAAGAAGAGAAAGACCAAGCGTATGGACTGATTAGCATGGGGAGTGAGAGAATCATTAACCAGTGGAAGACAGAATACTAATTTACAGGAGATCTAGGTAGCTTGTAGCCAATGAACATTAACGGCTTGTTAAAACTTATAAATCGTGAAAAGTTGTGACAGTCGTGGTGCTGGCTTTGTGGTTTTGCCATCCAGCCCCGCTTTCTGTGCAGAACTGAAAATAAATCAAACACCTTGGCTCTGGATGTGGATTGGCCTCTTGCACACTGGGCGAAAAAACCTATTTTGGGACACACTGGCACGGCTGGGGACATCCCCACAGCTGTCCTACCAGCCCTGGGACCCTGGCCAGGCTGGCAGGAGCTCAGATCTGGGCTACATGAAACTGCCCGGCAGCAGAAAGAACTCCCAGCCCAGCCCCATGGGTGGGTGAGGTTTGCATCCAGTCACATCACCTGTCACACACCACCCCACAGAAAACCAAACAGCTAATGGCCAGTAATCCCCACAAAAAAAACAGGATCTCTACCTCATTTTACAGTATCTGACAGAGCTGCTCCAATCTCTCTACAGTCTCCCTAATCCAAGGGGTGAATTCCTCCTCAGTTGGGCTGTTATCCCACGATGTCTCTTCAAAGACGGAACATTTTATGGATGTTCCTGCTTTTCTCCCAAGGCTCTGGTGCAGAGCACTCTCYTAATCCTCCTTGGAGAAACTCAGTGAAAGAGAAAGGAGTCTGGGGCAGAGCCAAATTAATGTTACCTGGTAATGGGATTACAGCAAGGACTAACCTTCAATTCCCTGACCTCTGTCCTATTTGTGATATAAGRGACATTACAAAGATGTTTTCACTACTGCAGCACATCTACCCCGTGGGTGCATTAATTATTTTTTGAGCTGCCAGAAACAAGCATCAACTCAGCACTCAGGTGACCAAACCCACAGGAGTTTCTGAGCAAAGGAACCCCAAAACAACATGGAAGGATTTGCCTCATAAAAGTACAATAAAGTCTGCCTGAAATTGAGATGCTCTCTTCCAGGAGATCACAGAAGTTTTTCAGAGCATGTTATTGTTCTTTCATAGGTGAGCAGAAATTGCAGAGCCCTCATCAAGAGAAGAGCAAGGTCTACTTACCCAAGAACCTCTCCCATCCCTCAGCTTTTCACAACAATCTTTGTTGTTGGAGGGAAGGGCCGGAGAAGATCTGCTGCAGGGAGGGGTGGGGAAGCCTTTCATCCCCAGATCTCCAAAGGAGGCAGCTGATTGCTGAGCCCCTCGTTACCCTGAGGAGGGGAGGGTTTCATGTGAGATGCTGTGCAGGTCCCTTCCATAGGAGACACCAAATACAGTCCTGGTCCAGAGGGCAAAACCCAGAGGGGCTCTGGGGGGCCCTGAGCAAGACCCTCTGCATCTCTGGGAAAGGTCTCTGAGCAGCGCTACCGAGACTGAAATCTGTGTTTGCACAAATCCAAGAGCCTTTGGCTCTTACTGCAAACAAACAGGGGTGTAGATKGGTTACAAAGCCTACCTTCTTGTTRTGATTAATCTGAAGGCAGRTTTTAAAKTCTTGATTAGAAAAGAATGATACCTTACGCAATGGTGTATGGGGCGGTACTGCTTCAGGTGTCCTTTGCTTTGGTCTCAAATATACCCAAATGTCAAGGTCACATTAATTTCTGCATAATTATTGGTTTAATTATTTCTTTAATGAGGATTCACCCCGTGGGCTAATGATCATAATGTGGGATGATCAAGCCAAAAGTAATCTTTATTTTTATTTATTGAAGGCGAGACGTTTCTGTCTCAGACATCATTTTTTTTTTCCCCTGTGGTTATACAACACCAAGCACTCTGATGCTCCATCAGCACAAAGACAATTGCTCTGTGCTGAAATGAAGGACAACTTGTGGCCACGAATGTCACACAGCCTTACATCCTCTGTGGAATCCATGAACTCACCTCGCTGCTGAGTTCAGTGGGACGGACTTGAAGAGGTATCTGTAGGCTAGAGAGACTTTGAAGCTCCACAAGACAGAAAAATCATAGCACAGGGCACATCTGTGCACTCTGCTAGGGGCTGCAAGGATATCAGAAAGGAGAAGGGAGCAGGAGTTGCTGAGGGAAGTGGGATGAACACTGTTGATCTAACTGTGATCTGACGATCTTTACTGTGGCTCTGAGGCCTGAGTTGGCCATGGCAACCTTGGGGCTGGAGACCATTCCCAGACCCTCTGCAGATCTCTGTGTCCCCTCTTGAGCCAAGGCAAATTTTTCACATTTCAACGAAATGAAATCTCCCTTTCCGTACCAAAGAAAACACTGTCACTGCTTCCACCAAATAAATTCCTTGTGAACTAGGTGCACATTGGGCAAAATCCTTCCTGCTTCTAAAAGCAAGCTCAGACACCAGGGGTCTGGCAGCTGTTGTATTTCACTCTGTTACTGGCACATTTAAGGTTTTGATGTCTGATTCATCATTCTGAGGCTGCCCCTGTCCWTCAGCACCGTTGTTTTTGATGTGATGCAGAAACACAGAGTCACCTCYTCAGCATCAGCGCTGCTGCAGAGTTCAGCACCACCACACTCTCCTCCCGGTGCCTGCCCACACTTCTGCCCTCAGCTGAGGGGTTCTCAGCCTGCTCAGCCCTGGAACAGCTCTGCAGATCCCGGCTGGTCTCTTCTGCTTCCCAGGGAGTGCCTAAAGGTGGGTACCTGAAGGTGGTAACTGATAACTCCTTGAGCAGATAGGGCACGGTGACTCACAAGGGCTCAGCACCAAGTGATACCGGTGGAGATAAGAGGAGGCAAGTATTGCCTCGCACTAAAGTCCCGTCTCCACTCGTTTAAGTGGAGGGGCTYATTTGGGGTGTGACAGTGTTTGGGTCAGGCTGATGGAACATGCTGAGAAGAAGAGATAATGGAGAGAGAATGTACAGGGAAGGAATTGTTGTGCAGGGTTTGGGCTGGGGACCRGCAGAGGATGGGGCAGGTGCCCGGCGGGGCTCAGGGGGTTCGCTCTGACCCTCCAGTCCCTCTCGCAGACCGTGCAGGGCGGGCCTTTCTCCGCTCCCCGGCCGGCGGAGAGTCCCGGAGCCGCGGGGAACCASAGCGGGGCGGAGCGGGGCCGGGACCGGGACCGGGGCGGGCCATGGAGCGCACCGCCCCCGAGCACCGAGCGGCAGGGTGGCACGGGACGGGACAGGGCAGAAAAGAACGGGTCGGGCTCCGCTGGGTGCTCTGAAGGAATGGCCGCGGCTCGTCTGGCAGCGCTGCCCCGGCACGGGCTGCGGCTCCTGCTCCGAGCGGGCGGGCGGCGCGGAGCCCCGGGCAGGTACAGAGGGGATGGGGAGCGGGGGATTGGGGTGCGGGCTATGGGGGTGGAGGGCTCTGGGCTATATCAGTTAATCCGTGGGCTATAGGGTATGGGCTAGATATAGGAGACTGGGGGCTGCGATGAGAAGGAATGGGGCTGGATGAGAAGGTGTGGGGGCTGTGGTGGTTGGAGGGCTCTGGGGATGGGGAGCTGGGGTGCACAGAGGCTGCAGAGGATGGAGACTGTGTTTGATGGGGGACAGGGCTGTAAGGCAGCTGCAGAGCGCTGTGGGTGTCCAGCGCAGGGAGGGCATGTTCATCTTGGTGTGTAACTGTCCCCTGGCTCCCCTAAAACGCCCCCAAAGCGGCAGAGCAGCCTGCACCCCCCGGATCTGCTGCAGTTTGGGAGCGGGCCGGGCAGGGAGGAGCTCTGTGCTGTGTGCTGAGGGGATGTGAACGCGCTCAACTTCCTGCAGCAGCTCCATCCTGACTGCAGCAATGTGAAATTATCARCTGGCTTCCCCATCCTCCTTCTGACTGCTCTGACTGGCGGTCAGTGTCCCTGTCCCCCTGCAGCCCCCCAGAGGGGTGGGTGACACAGCAGGTCCAGGGCACCAAGAGATCTGGGGCTTGAGGAGTCAGGCCGGCTCTTTGCCTTGCTTTTCCTCAGTGCTGCCTCTTGGAGAATGTTCGTGTGAGAAAAACAGCGATGGGTAGGCACCTGGCTAATCCTCTGGAGGATTAACTGATATTCAGATTAATAATCACTGGGACAAATGACTTCCAATGAGCAGTTCCAAGARTCAGGTGGGGCGCTCCTTGTTTTTCACAGACAGGGTTTGGGTGTTTCTTTTCAACTAGTTTGACATTAGGAATGAGGTAGTTGAAGCCACTGCTCCATAGGTGTGCCAGGATTGCCTTCTCAAAATCTGTCAGGAAACAGAATAAAAAGGGAGGCATGACAGTGAGGTCACTGCAGTTCATGCCAGCCCGGAACTGAAACTGAGGGACAGGAACACAAAGTCCTTGGAGAAAGACAGCATGCATTTAGAAAGTAAACTCTTTCTAGTAAAGTTATAAAAAAAAGTTTATTAAATTCTGCTCTTAGGCTTGTTTATTCTTATGACAGGAAGAGTGCTGAGAGGCACAGTGGAAAGCATGACCAGAAAGYTGCTGCAGGAGGAGTCTGAAAACACTGGGAACTTGATCTCTCCTTAAACGAAAACAAACAAAAAAATGTAGTAAGAATCCAGTTAACTCTTTAGTCATCAGATCAAAGAGCGAGTGAGGACAGAGCACGATTAACTTTCAACACCCTTTTATTGCAGTTGTATTACACAAAAACTCTTGTCTTGTGGGGAGAAGCTCCTGGTAGAGCTGAGCAAGGAACTGGCAGAGGAATCTGTGAACCTCTCTGAGTATGAACTCTGTAGTTGGGACAGTTCCCAAGCCCTGGGAGGGCAGGGTCTTTCCCACAGGTACAGAGGTGATGGCACCACAGGGCAGGTCCATGTCCTTCCCACTGCAAAGAGGACAGGAGGTTACAGTGCCTTGTGCTCCTYTCTCCTCCCTTTGATAACTTCTGTAGCCTGGTAAAGAGTTAAAGGTGAAAACAGAGCTGGTTATCTTATATCAACAACTCCAGACTGTTGACTGGGGCTGTTCAGAGAAAAATACAAACTGCTCTAAGGATTAGTCCAGAGTRCTTGCTTCAGTCTGATAATTTCTGCTTCCTGCCATCAGAAAGGAGAGCTCTGGTGCTGCTGGGATTTGGCTGCTCTCCTGCCTTTTGCAGGGAGGAAGAGGAGGAGGTTTCATTTTCCCAGAATCTCTGATGTCTCTCTGTTCAGCTGCGCTGCTGAAACTCCAGGGTTTCGGAGTTTTGCAGGAACAGCCTGTGGATGAGGCTGGCTCATTTACAGGCTGTCTTGGCTGCTGAAACSTGCTGCTAACAAAAGGCATGTGCTCTCCAAAAGTCATGGTTTACACTCTGTGCTGCCMCCCAAGAGCAAGCAGAGTTTTATTTGCTTTCCTTCGGCTGAGTCAGGAAAATGAGAGCTGCTCTGATATCAAACCATTGGTCTTGTTTTACCTTCAGCAGCACCAGGTGCCTTGTAGGAAGAGGTGAAGGGWGAATTACTGTTTTCTGTAACAAAGATGAGCACAGAGATAATTTCTAAATTCTTTGGACTCTTTGTAGAATCCTCTTGGCACATTCTCTCAGATCAGATACACACACTTTCTGCTGGCTGTAGGAGGGAGGGAGACCAGCCCTATGTGATTTTCAGCATGATGCTGCTGATAATATCTTGTGCATATCTTGTGTCTGCCTCCTTCATTCCATTCCTGACCCCYAGTGCTTCCAACAGCCTGCTGTGTTTCAGCTCACACCTTTCACTTCTGCCACTCAGAGAGAAGTGGTAGAAAAATGCTGAAACACTTGTGAATGTCAGACCAGAATTTGGGGAGCTGAGACAAGAGGAAAGCTGTGATTTTTTCTTTAATGCGTTTGAAGAAATAATGTGAGTGCTTTGAGAGGAATCAGTGACTCTGGGTTATGAGCATGAGATATCTTAGCCTTCTTAGCCTCTAATTTCAGTGCTGCTGATGCTTTCCTTTTAAAATGTGAATGCTTGGAACCTCTGAGAGCAAGTTGGGTTCACATTGAAATGCAGCAGTGTTTTCTCAGTATTTTGGAGCATGTGGCTTTGTAATGGTATCTGTTACTGCTCTTTGATGCACTTTATCCTCATGTTTGGGGGGAGGCAGGGAGCCAAGCCATGAAGACTGGAGCTTTGTGCCTTCTTGCATTTAGTGTAAAAGTCTGGTTATGAAAAGTCAGTGAAAGCCTTTGGTTCTTCAGGTCTGAAAAATATTGTGATAGCAAGCTCAGTCTGATCTGTGTAATCCTTTGCCAAGACACAATAGTGTAAGATGTTTTTATTTTATATTCTCCCTTTAATTGGCAATRCAGAGTTGTGCAAGTGCCTCTTTGAAGGCTGACTGCGGACAGCAGGACACTGTTTCAACTGCACACTTTGGATTCTGATTGAATTTTCTCAATCTGAATTTTGTAATGTTTTCTCCCCTCTCCGRTCTCTTTTTGTGATGGTTCTTTTGTTTGTTTATTTTCCCCAGTGCTGAGCCCGATTGGCTCCCAGTGCTGGGGGGAAGAGCTCTTGCACAACCAGGTCAGCAGCTGCTCCCTGCCCAGTCCAGCCCTTCCCGGGCAGGGAATTTAGGGACAGGCTCTGCTGACCCTGGAGACTTGCCCCGAGGGAGATGTGAGTGTGACTGGCCCCATTAAACGTTTTAACACACAGCCTGAGGGTTCCTCATCCTCCCTCATGAGCTAGGACAGGGGACAGTGACTTCTCCAGTCGCTGTTGCAACCTRAGGTGGCCTTTACTGCTCTCTCAGTAGCATTAATCCTCCCCTAGGGTTAGGGAGAGTTTTTTCAACCTTTTATTTTACAGAACATGTATTCATAAAGGCTTTTCATCTCCTTGTTTATCTACCTTTGTTGCCCAAGAGTTTTCAGACAATGAAAGGTAATTCAGTTTAGCAGCTGTCCTGCCTCCTTTTCRTGCAGCCCTGCAGACTTGATGTGAGTTACCCAAGATCTCTGTGAGGAGGGATGTCTGAATAATGCCCRTGAGAGTTGCACAATCCTCCCTCTGTGGTGGAAAAAGGGTCAGGTCATTCGCTTGGCTCTTGGAGCAGAACTGCCCCTGAAGGTAAAAGTCTAGCTTTTTGTTCTCTTGGCACTGAATTCCACTCCAGAGGCGGCAACACCATGCTCTGACTTGTTTCTTGTGGGCAGGAAAACAAATCTTTTGTGGTAATTACACTGAGTCTTGGCAGAATGTTGATGCTGCACTGGAGAGGAGTTTAGGCTGAGCTGTTTTTCCTCTTTAGGGCAGAGATTTCCCCATTATACACTGAATTACACACAGCCCCTGTGCTGTGCACCCCACAAGTGTCCCTTGGCCCTGTCCCTCCTGGGTGTCTTCTAAAAAGGGGCTGAGGTTGTGGAAGGAGGCAGAAAGTGAGGGGGGACAGAGAATGTGGGGGAATAGAGCTGTGGGGTGGGGGGARCTGATGGAACAGAGAGAGGCTTGTAGGAGATGGAGAGAGAAACCAAGGCTGGAAGTGCTCTGATGGTCAGGAGCTGCAGTTTGAGGGGAGATCGCTGCTTTTCCACTGATGATCAGACCTCAAGGAAAGCCTWAATGATTTCTAAATTATTTTCCTGACTGTCCTGACCACATCTTCTCTCTCATTGCTGCCTCTGTTGGCTCATTGTTCCCTCTTGGCCTCCACCACGATGTCTCAGTGCTCCTGTCCTGCCTGGGGTTGCTCTGCTCAATCCCTGCTCTCCTCCTCCCCTCCTGTCCCCAGTTTGTGGTGGGGACCTTCTCCTCCCTGATGGCAACCTGCTGTGGAATTGTCTCTGCACTTCTCCCCCCTCATCTCGCTGGCAGCTCCTCATTTTATTGATGATGTTTCAGTCCCATAAACCCTTTGCATTCCAGCTGTCAGAGATAGAACATAYCTAGAGWTAAARCAGMTGCTTGCTGCTGTGTACTCAGACCRTTCCTTTGCAGATGYCTCAGYTRCAGCYCTGAACTTCTCTGAACTTTCCTAAACAGCTTTTATTCTGCAGGATTACTCTTCTCTGCTGATCGTTTTGGAGACTGACCTCTCTCATTTTAATTCTTTCTCAGTTGTCTGCTCTTTTCAGCCAGCTGGGGGAATTTCTCTACAACCTGGTTTGGTTGTGTTGACTTCCCAGCTGYTCACACTTTTTAATGTTAAAAAAGACCAAACCCAGTTGCCATCCATGTAGTTTTCACTGCAGGTAGAGGATGTAGGACCAAGCTGTGCCCATTCTGCAGGGCTGGTGCAGGCTCCTTCCCCAGCAGGGAGCAAAATCCTGGTTCCCCATGGAGGGATGGAAGCTCTGCCTGTTCTGTTTGTGTGGACACCCATGTGTGTGTCCTGGGGGCACTGAGTTTGTCCATGTGCCCCATGCACAAGCTTTCCAAGCTGTCTTGGAAGTCTTCCTGGTCTTGAATCACTGGAGGAGCTGCCTGAAATGTGCAGCAGAGATTCCCGATGCCATTGGGCTGATAATCCCTCCAGATGGGGAGGACTGGATTTACAGGTTATATTAAATAACCTCTTGTCCTTTTCTTTCCCAGTGCCCTGCACACAAGGATGCCCTCCGTGTCTCACAAGGTGACCAACAGCTACATCCAGGGGGCTTCAGACGTTCCYCTTTTGGACAAAACCGTGGGTCAGTGCCTGGAGGACACTGTGGAGCGCTTTCCCGACCGTGAGGCTTTGGTTTTCTGCAGGGATGGGGTTCGGAAGACGTTTGCTCAGTTCAGAGAGGAGGTGAGTGCCTGGTTCAGCCCTCAGCTGGGTGCAGGGGAGCAGCAGGTGTGATGGAGAGATGGAAAACAGATTCACTGCTGAGCYCAGCACTGAGGTGAGCTGTGTGTGGAGCTTTTTCTGGCTCTGGGCAGAGGGAGCAACACAACCTCAGAACACCGATGGACCTGTGCTGCCTTCATCCTCCTCAGAGCCCTGGGATGAAAGGGAGGGGGCAGCATCTGCAAAATGCTTGTTGAATATCTCACAATGAACCTTCATGCTCTAAAAATTATCACACTTAGCTGACAAATTATGGGCTGAGTCACAGCGGTTTTCTCTGCCAGAGTAGACTCCACTTTCTGCATTAGTCACTCTATCAGAGGTCCTGAGTATGGGGAAGATTTTAATTCAAGCCTAAAGGCAAGGACTAGGGCTCAATATCTCATGCACAGATGTGTGTGTCTATGTGTATGCATATACAAATGTATGTTTATCTGTTTTTGGAATGGAAGGACTAACTGCCTGGAAAGTTTCTAATAAATGTGTGATATGGTCGTGTATAGGAAAGAATTTTTTGGTGGGCTTTTTAGGCTTACTATGGTTTTGGTCACATCCATTCAGATCTATAAGATTAGCTGTGTTCATCATGATTTTAAGAAGTAGGCTGTRATTCAGAACTAAATCAAATTTGTTCCTCAAGTTCATATCTCCTACAATGTAAACTTCATAAATTCATTTGAGAGCATAACAAAACTATAAACCTTTCTTGAATTTCCAGAATATTTGTTGTTCACCTGAAACATGCTTAGCATCTTGCAAAATAAAGTAGTTGTTAATATCAACTGAATGTGGCTGAATTTGAGTTAATGAGTCACAGAATCATTAATGTTGGACAAGACCTCCAAGACTGAGCCCAACCTTTGGCCGATCACCACCCTGACAAGTAGGTCAGAGCACTGAGTGCCCCTTCCAGTTGTTTCTTTAACACTTCCAGAGATAGTGTCTCCAAATCCTCCATGGAAAGTAATTTCCAATATTTAATGAACTTTTTGATTAAGAAATTCCTCCTGGTGTCCAACCTGGCCCTCCTGTGGTGCAGTTTGCACCCATTTCCTCTCCTCCTGTCCCTGTTCCCTGGAGCAGAGCCCGACCCCCCCGGCTGTCCCCTCCTGTCAGGGAGTTGAGCAGAGCCACAAAGTCCCCCCTGAGCCTCCTTTTCTCCAGGCTGAGCCCCTTCAGCTGCTCCTCACAGGTTTTATAAGGACAGGAAGGCAAAACTGGTCAAAAATCACTCAGTTTTCATCCCTTGAGTCCTTTTGGAAGTGAGTGATACCCAGAAGGGAGRCAGATCCCACAGTGTGGATGGGCCCAGCATCTGGGTAAGGCTYAGTCTTAAGTGGAGATGATGAGGAACTTGGCAATCAATAATCTTTGGGCGAGAACTTGCAACRACATAATTGCCTATTTTGATTTCCTTCCTGCTTGTTTGTTTTGTCCCAGGTTTGTAATTTTTATACTTTTGATCAACCTGCTGACCAGGGGCTGTTCTGGGGATGTACATTCTCTCTTATTTCAGTCACAAAGATGATGCTTTTTCTCCAGAAGGCAGCTCCTGGAGACCAATATCCCCCAGTGCATCCCGTGGGTGATCCTCTGGCCCTTCTTTGTGTTTTTCAGGTGGACCAAGCAGCAGCTGGACTGCTGGCCCTTGGCCTGAGGAAGGGAGACCGGCTGGGCATGTGGGGACCCAATAAATACGAGTGGGCTCTCATGCAGTTTGCAACTGCCCAGGCAGGAATCATCCTGGTAAGGAGTTGGCTGTGTCTGGGTTTTTAGCAGTCTGTTGGGAAAGGAAATAGAGACAAAGGAACAAWAGGAAATACTGGATAATAAATGTTGTTTTCTCTTTTTTCCATGTTCTTACCTGGCTCGTCATCTATAGCTGAATCAAGTATTTAAGGAAGGTTTGTGCAGCTCTCTGTGTCTTTGTCCTTTGCTCTGTAGAGAGGCACACTGCAGAGGGAGGAGCAGCAAAAAAAGTGTTTGCAACAGCTTTTAATAGGAGGAGATTTGCTTTTCTCTACAGGACCATATTTCTGTGGGATGCTGCTGTCCTTAACAGTTACCAGCTGCTTAGATCCCTTCTGAATTGATTGCTCTGTGGAACAAAAACTCACTTAAAAATCTAGTCCAAGCTGCACGTTCCTAAAAGCCAATTTTCATTTGATAGCATGACCAAAATACACCTTATTTAGACTGGGCACWGTGTTAAGGTCTCCATTTCCTTCATCCTGGTTTGTTCCAGTGTCTGCAGGAATAGGCTGGAGGAACATGGCTCAGTAGGAACCTGGGGCTGAGCTCAACTCCAGTGCCTTCTGTGGAGAGCTGGGTAGGAGAAGGTGCTATCATGGCTTTCCATCAAGAAACCTGACTTGCACAAGAGTTTTGATCTAGTTTAGTGGATTGGATCAACTAGACCAACTGGATCAACTCCTATGAGACACAAAATTTTCAAGTAAATCTCCTTTGCAACTGTTTTCTTTCATACAAACACAATTCAGATTTTTTTTTCCTGTGGAGTCCCTGTATTGCTGAGCTCTTAGTTCTGTGTTGGAGGAGAGGCTCTGAGCGTGGCTTATCCCTGGGAGATATTTTCAGCTGGAATTTGTGTTAGTGGGGARGGTTTTCAAGGCAAGGGCAATTCTGATGTGCCTTCATGTTTCTCCCTCCTCAGGTCTCTGTGAATCCAGCCTACCAGGCCTCTGAGCTGGAGTTTGTGCTCAGGAAGGTTTGTATGGCACCAACACTGTTCAAGGGGATGGTGGGGACACGGTGCAGATGAGCTGCTCGAGGTTTGGGTGTAGGAGGGAGCTGTCTGGAGAGCAGGGTGCTGATGAAGGTGTAGAGGGGRTGAAGCTGCACTTCAGTGCTCACATTTCTTGCTGTTCCCTGTGGCAGCCACCCCGAGTGATGGAGATTCCTGCATCCTCCTCATCCCTCCCTCYCTCTGTGCTGACAGCAGCTGCTGCCAGTGTTACCCCATCCTGAACACCCCTGTCAGCAATCATTTACCAGGGAATGGGGGAAAAAATGCAGAGCTGGATATCTCCTCTTTGCCCTTCCTCTTCAGGGCAAAAATCACAATCTAGGATTTCAAGCTTGAAAGCAGAACCTCAGAAAGGACCTCATTTTAACCTCAGAAAGGACCACATTATAACCTCAGAAAGGACCTCATTTTAACCTCAGAAAGGACCAGCCTACTTGGTAGCTTGATTTCTCCTCCCAAGTTTGTCTGAGGCCTGGCTGGCCTTGGATTTAAGCTGGTTTAAGTCCTAGGTATTGTCACATCAACATCTCTTTGCTGTCTGACCCTGGCCACCTCAGCTACCCTCTAATACCTGCCTGGATTTGAGTTTGCAATATGCAGGGCACTGAGCAATTTAAACTATTCCAGTTCCCTGGCTCAAATAATGAGAATTTCAGGTTATTAAACATTTGATGGCTAATAAATTAAGATTAAGCAGCTAATTTGTTCACTGTGGTTTGTTCAGCTATAAATCAAAGGCTGATATTAGAAGCGAGAGAGCCACTTCTGAGTGTTCCCAGCACCATCCAAATTATTGTTTTACCTAGAAAGTGGATAATTTTGAGCAGCTTTTCTCCTGTATCAGTACCTCTGTAATTGGGTTGTTGGGCTGTAGTTTGAGGTCTTGTTTTGTCCTTTWTTTAATCCTCTCAGCAGTCTCCTGRTCACTCCTGTTCTCGTGCATTGTGGTCGAACCATCTCTCCCAGGGTGGATGTCCTTGGGTTTCTTTCTTCTGCTGGAATTTGCAACCCAGTGCTTCCCTTTTCCCTCAGCAAAGCTTTTTTTGTTTTCCTTTCTACCTCTCTGTGCCAGAATCTCCTTTGATTTTCTGTTCTGGTGTAATCTGGAGTGTCCATGGGGTAAGAGCAGAAATTCAGCTCCRTGGGGAATTGCTCCTTTCCAGGTTTGCCAGCATTCCCAGCTTTTCCATGCACTGGGATCTCTGGAGTTCCTCACCACCCTAAGGATTTATTTGTGATTATTTATTGTCATAACAAAATTCCAGGAGACTTTAGGGCTTTTCCTGTCTGTCTGTGCAGTCCCACTGGTATATACAAAAATCTGTCTGCAATAACCATTCCTTGCATTCCTACTCTATTTCCAGGGCTGTGTAAAAGCAAACTGATGACAAGTTTTCRTATTTTAGGTTCTTTGAAGACAGATCTGCTGCCATTCAGGTTCAGAGGTGCTCAACCAAAGACTCTTATCTTGTACAGCATCAGCCCTGCAAGTTCCTCTCCCCACAAAGCATCTGTTTTTCAGCGCTGGTTCAACCAGAATTGTASTTTGAAGGAATTAATAGTAAAAAGTTACAGAGGCCCAAAACAGCCTCAGTCCCCTGGGTTCTGGGCAGCCTGTTCCAGAAAATAGAGCAAATGTTTATCTTCCTTTCTGACAAAGCCCAGAGGGTACTTACAAATAATTTATTGGCATAGCCTTGGTCTCCTTATTTCCCAGACTTTGGGAAAATAATGAGAACAGCTGAGTAAATCATTTATGTAAATAGTTATTTTGACACGAATGCATTTTTTGGAAGATGAAAGCAGTTTGCAAATCTGGGTCAAATTCAGCAAATCTCCTCTGYTGAAAAAGAAATGAAAATTCTTGGAGTAATTAAAGTGCTTTGTTTAGAGATTATGTAAATAAAAGGGTTGAATGAAAAATATTTTAATTTTCAAAATAGCTAATGCTTTAAAAAGAGGTGGGAAAATCTTAGGAAAAGGAACACCTCAAAAAAAAATCCACAACAAAATCTTGGTTTGATTAGGCAGACTTTAGATTTCCTTATTTTTCCAAATTTCCTCAAAAACCCTCATTCCAGATCAGCACAAATTAATTTTGAAATTTTAACTTCATTCATTTATTCATTCATATTTTGGGACCGGGCTTTTTGTTAGTGCTGAGTCTCATAATCTTAAAAAAAAATCCGTTGTTTGCCTTGTGCTCACAGCAAGGAGTGTTGATCCTGGGTGAAGAGGGAACTGCAGGATAGTTCTGCTTTCTTGAGCAGCAAAAATCATCCTGGATCCATCAGGAGAGAGGAACAAAGTACAATCTGCACAACTGGATCCAGGCTTGGGGTGCTGGGTGTGCAGGACAGCACARCCCTGTTCTTGGAGGGTTTTAGGAATGCACAGCTGTCAGGGCTATTTGTTTTTGTCCTTGGAGAACCCTCCCGTGGCTCCTGTCTTGGTGGTGGCTGCTCTTTGTCGTGTCCTGAGCATCAACCCCAACGTGACTTCTCACCAGTTTCTGTCTCCCTTCACAGGTTGGCTGTAAGGCACTGGTGTTCCCCACTCAGTTTAAAACACAGAAATACTATGATATTCTAAAGCAGTCATGCCCYGAGCTAGAAAAATCCAGTCCAGGGGGAATAAAGAGCCAAAGGTGAGTTAGGAACATCTGGTGTSTTTGCACTGACCTCACAGCCGTGCCCTGCCTTGTGTCCCCTCAGCTGCACAACACAGGCTTTGCTGAAGAAAGACCCACAGGGGTCTCATCTGAAGAAAACAAAGTCAGGCTGGCCCAGAGGTTTGCTCTGACCAGTGTGTACCTGTCTGGGCACTTTTCTCCTTGTTTTTTTGTTACTGATGGTGTTTTTCTCTCTGCCAGGCTSCCTGACTTGTCCATTGTCATCGTGTGTGACTCGAAGCTGCCTGGCACCTTCCACATGGATGAGGTGATGCAGGCTGGGGACAGCAGCCACGTGAAGCAGCTCAGGGCTGTGCAGCAGACCCTGTCCTGCAATGAGCCCATCAACATCCAGTTCACCTCAGTAGGTGCCCTGTTTGCTCCATGCCTGGG